TCAAGATTTCTTTTTTTATTTTTAGAACTAGCTTTAATCCTTCGTGTCACTTCAATGTTTTGTTCTTGATACGTATCGAGTTACTGAATTGTCAATGACTTTTATTCTAGCGAAAATTTTATCGAAGATGAAACAGAGATAAGATAAACAAGATTCTTTATTCAATTTGATTATATTAAGATTATTTGATTGTATTAAGAATTATTTTATCTTTTGAATTTAATTTAAAAAAATAATACCTATGAAAAGCGCGAAGAACATATCGTAAATTTTTAATAAAAAATTAGATTAGATAACCAAACGTGCTAAGATTGTACGTTTATGCAAAATATATTTTCCATAAATTCGAGATTCGATTTTCAGATAAATCTACCCCCGAAATGAATGCACACAAGGGTCTTAGTTATATATAGCATTGCTACGCTCAAAACGTCCATTCTAAAGTCCATTTTTTGAAACTTCGATTATATTCTTTCTCTTTTATCGTCGGGCCATTTTTCGATTCTTTTATCATTGCCAGTTAAGCGACGAGGAGAGGGGATGATCGAAGAATAAGAAGGAATCTTCTAAAGTTGATTCATCTATATTCGTCCACAACATTTCGACGATTCGACTAAAATTTACGATTTACACATTCATGGCGCTAATCCAGTTTTCGAAGTCGTTCGATCGAAATGCGACATTTTCATCGACACGCAGTCGCGTGTTTTTTCCAACTAAATGTCAACATCGATTTTTCGATCTGTAAAATATTGCAATAATAATAATAATTACGAAAATCTCTTTCTCCTCTTTCCTTTTGATCCTATTATATACGCATCAACGATTGTAATTTCTTTTTTTTAAATTCGATTTATCAATCTACCCTATTGATCCGCTATAATATAATAAAAATTCAATTTGTGGACGAATGGGAAAAAAAGGTTTATTCAACAATTTTCAAAGGTTTTTCCTCTTTAATGAATTCGAAATGTTGTAATCACATCGCTTTGCACGGATTTTCGTCAGTCAATGACAATGAAAAGAAGCGTGATAGAAGAGCGTTTTATCGCTTTCATAAAACTTTTGCTTCTGTGTAAACTCTTTAAACTCAATTTTCTCAGTTTATAAAGTAACGAACTTTGTAAAACGCATTAATACGCAAAGTGGGAAAGTCACGCTTCACGCTATGATTTATAATCTTTAATGCGGATTAAAAAAAAGAAAATTCTAAAATAAATGACGACTGTCGTTTATAGGAATTTCCGCAAAGAAATAACGGAAAACAATATCTTTTCAAAAGTTGTTCAAAAGCTGCAATCCGAGCAAAAGTCACGGTCTTCTCACAATGGCTTTCGTTCGCCAACGAATGTATCATTGATAATACATCCACGCTCACATCGACCCCTAATAAGGGGTAGCATGGAACCCATCCACGTGCGTGTGTTTATTCGTCTGAACGAGTATATGGTGTAGGCAAATATACACAGAGCCGCGGCTTTCGCTGTCAAAGCCTCTCTTTAGCGATCCTCGTCAGAGCTACCCTGTTTTTCAACCCCAAATCCTACTAGCCCTTACGCTCATCACTCGTCTCTCCTCTCCGATACGAGTGTCCAGGACCGATTCCATTTTCCTCCGCGCATTTCTTCTAATGTCTGTTCGAGATCCACGAAACGTATCTATAAAACTACCCTAATCTTTCTTCTAGGGAAAAAGAGAGAGGAAAAATGCAGTGGTTCTCAAAGTGAAGTATTTTTTAGTGGGTAGTTGACAAAAGTCATCTATGATTTTTAACATTTAAAACTATTAACATTTATCATTATTTAATTCCTTAAACGATAATTATTTCATTTCATATGAGTTTGATAGATATATATATAATTGAAAAAAATGCTCGAAAATATTCCCGATATAAATTTATATTTCTTCATTTTCTTTTCTACTTAGAGAAAAACAAAATCAATTAACATTTCTTTGTTTTTTTCTTTTTTTCCATTATTTTTTTATCTTAAAAATTGTCAAGTTTTACGATAACGGTATTATCACTCGAGTGAC